CCTCCCATCCCTGGTAACCAACAAAGATTGTTACATTTTGTGTGTGAACTTTTTCATGGGTTTTTACAATAGAGGTCTCATACAATATTTGTTTGATCTGTATACTCTTAAAGTAGTATTCTTAAAATCTTTTTTTTTTCAGTGTCTAGAAATAAAGTTTTATTAGAACATTGTCACACCCATTCATTCACCTATTTTTTATGTTTTGTATATAAATGCCAACCCCCCTTTTTAAATTGTGCTTTAGGTGAAAGTTCAGAAAGCAAATTAATTTCTCATTATACAGTTAATACACAAATGTTTGTGACATTGGTTGCCAACCCCACGATGTGTCAGTACCCCTTCTCAGCCCTGGCTTTCTTGTTTCCATTCGTCCAGTTTTCCGGTCCGTTTCTGCCTTCCGTTCTTTGCTTTTGGGCTGGTATGCCCATTAGTCTCCTATATGTGAATTGAACTATGATGCTTGTTCCTCATGTGTGTTATTGTTGGTTCTATAGACCTATCTAATGTTTGGCTGAAGGGTGAACCTTGGTAGTGAATTCAGTCCTGAGTTAAAAGCATTTTCAGGGGCCATAACTCTTGAGGTTTCTCCAGTCCCTGTCAGATCAGCATGCCTGGTCCTTTTTTTCTTTTCTTTTCTTTTTTTTATGAATTTGAGTTTTGGTCTACATTTTTCTCCTGCTCTGCCCAGGACCCTCTATTGTGATCCCTGCCAGAGCAGTTGTTGGTGGTAACTGGGCACCATCTAGTTGTTCTGGGCTCAGTCTGGTGGAGGTTATGGTAGTTGTATCCATTAGTCCTTTGGACTATTCTTTCCCCTGTGTCTTTGGTCTTCTTTACTTTCTTTTGTTCCATCTGAGATGGGACCAGTGGATGTATCTTAGATGGCCACTTTCAGACTTTTAAGACCCCAGACACTACTCACCACAGTCAGATGTAAAACAGTTTCTTTACGGACTATGTTTTGTCAGTTGAGCTAGATGTCCCCCAAGACCGTGGTCTCCAGCCCTCAGCCTAGTAGCTGGATCTCTCAGGGCATTTGATTTTGTCTGTGAAGCTTCTGTGACTTTGCCCTGGTCAAGTTGTGCTGACTTCCCCAGTATTGTGTACTGTCTTACCCTTCACCAAAGCTACCACTTATCCTTTGCCCATTGTTTAATTGGATTATTTGTCTTTTTATTGTAGAGGTCTTAAAACCTTTTGGAGAGAGACCTTATGGCATGCAAAGCCTAAAATACCTGGCCCTTTTGCTGGCCCTTTCCTAGGTGGCCCTTTACATAAAAAGTTGGCTAATCTCTGATGAAGAATTGGGATGGAGTGGTGAGCATGGGGAAGACTAGTATTTTATTGAATACTTGCTAAGCACCAGACACTGTTTCATGTGCTTGCCGCTTCTTCGCTCTACCCTGAGAGGTAGGGATTATTATTCCCGGTTTGCCAGAGAAGAAACCGAAACTTGGAAAGGTTAAAGTTCTTACTCAAAGGCCCAGTGGCAGAGCTGGGATGTGAATCCATTTTTGCCTGAGTTTAAGGCCAGTTTTGCTATAGTATACTGCCCATATAGTTCTTTGTATATTTCCCATTTCTCAATTATTACTAACAATTATTACTTTTAGTTTTAACCGCCTGGACCTGCCACCCTATAAGAGTTATGAGCAACTGAAGGAAAAGCTGTTGTTTGCCATCGAAGAAACAGGAGGATTTGGACAAGAATAGCTTCTGAGAATTTGCACCACCGGAGGACAAGAATGCATTTATAATGTTTGTCCTTTTCCCTCTCTGCCTGTTACACATCTTGTTGTAAATTGGACTGTGACTGTTTAGAGAGTTATCTGTGTGTAAGTAAATTAATGTTATCATTGAGATTTATCTCCCAGTGATTCTGGATTTCTACTCAGCGTTTCCAGAAATCAGATCTGCAAACGACTAGTCAAAACCTTACTTAACTTGAGATTTAACACAGCAATGAAATCTGCCTTGTCTTATTCCACTACATTGTTTCCTTAACAACAGTTTTATATATATGTGTGTGAAAAGTCTCAACTTTGGGAGTAGGTTTTTTAAAGATTCTGCAGATAAACGGGAAGTCCCTTGGTAACTGCGATATGCAAGATGTTCATATTAAGCATCTTGGTAAGAGGTATTTGTTAAAAATGAAGCTTAACCCAGCTTTTGGGGACCATGAGCAGACTTCTGTCTTGTGCTGTCCCTCTCACTTCAGCCTGGCCTGACTGTTGTTTTTCCTTTCTGGAGGTTGAATCCATGCATCTTTTGGTGTTATACTTGGAAGTGATGCAGGACTCTTGGCATCTCTCTACAAAGCAGCTTTGTCAGTTTGAATTCAGGGAGAAGTTGGTCCCAGCCTGCAATTGACTTCATACCTCTCTTCATTTGGAAAATTTGATTATTTTAATTGCCTTGCAAACACTAATCTTTACAAACAATATTAACACTTTGGTTCCTTCACTGTTGTTCATAAAAGTTAACCTAGAATTGGAATAATTTAGCTGAGTTCATATAAAGCCATCAGTGAAGATTTGTGTTTGGGAAAAGTTTGCATCTTTATAGTTTTATCATAATCCACCAGCTTCAGTTATATTTAATTATTACCAAGCAGTTGAAGTTGTAACCAGAGTGCTTTCTAGTCCAAATAGAGGTCAATGAAACATCTTCTGAAATTACATTTTAATTTGGGAGAGCTGTGGTACTAACCAAAAAGGAGGCGTCACCATCTAGTAACCACAGAAATGTATTCTCTCTCTGTGAATTAAGTCTTTGAATTTATCATTTCTCTGACATATGTTAAAGTAATTATTTCCATTCTTTACATTATCCTGAATAGGATTAACATCCTTCACCTGCAATATTCTTTTCACCCTTGAAAATTTAGGTTTTCCTTTTTCCCCCATTACTGTTTAATTTTAGACTGCTCCTTTAGTAGCCGATTAATGCACTTTGAACTTCTCTGTACTTCATTTCTTTTAACTTGGCCTAACTTAGACTCTTTTGAGATGGCTGCTATCATAGATTTTACTTTATGGACAGTGGGATGAAGCCTAAGCCACCTGAGTTTAGTTGTCATAGCTGAACTGTGGCGACAGCCTCATAACTCATGAAACAGGGACTTTCACAGATTTTAGTAGTGTAGCACAAAGGAGTAGCATTGAGTCAAGAGTAAGCAGAGACTAATAAACCCCTGTTCCATATGGGAAGTAATGTCTTTTTGTCCCCATTTAAATCCTGAAACAACAACAAAAACTTTTTTTTTTTATCTTGTGTATCTGTACTCTAAGACACTGCCATAATAAAGCAGAGACTTAGGTGAGTAAAAGGGATGCCTCATCCAGAGGTTGTTAGTGTAAAGGAGGAGATTAGGCTCTACCCAACTCTGTTTTATTTTTATTCCATATGCCCCAGGAAATGTAGTGTGGTTTCCAAAAGCCCTAGTAGTTTTCAAAGTAGGAACTCTCTGCCTTTTTATTGGTAGGGAGAAAAAAAAATGCTATTGCTTTGTCTTACAGAGCGAATGTCTGCCAACTACCCATTCATTATACAAGTCTGAACTTTGGCAATATATGGCTATGGAGATAAAGCCTTCTGTAAAGACTTACTCTTGAGGTGAATTCTCGTATTGAAATGTAGTTACCTGCAATATTTACAAGAGATTTATGAGATTAAATTAAGAGATAATGTAAGAAAGTAGCTTTTTTTGGTTCTACATAATGCTTCATGATTTATTTAGGGACCTAGAAATATTGTGTGAAAATGTATAAATACCCAAAAGGCTTTCTGCCCTATATTTTTAAAATACAGAATAGTTATATTTGAAGTAGCCCTGGCCCTAGTTCTATAGGGCTTGGCTATTTAATATTTTTATGGAAGAAACGTTTAGTTCTGGAAAAGGTAAATGCTTGTATATATTTTTGCAGCCTGGGATCTCCCTTACTCCATTTCTTCCTTTAATTTAAATGGCCACATGTATATGTCTTCCCTGCTGTGTTAGGAAAATGGGGGCTGGATATCCCAAGAATCAGAGGTTATATAAAAATGTTGCAAATAGACAGCAGACATAAATATCTACCAAATGCTATCTTAAATTTTGATCCAAACTGAACATTTGCAAATAGATTTATTGTAAGTGTTAAATTAGAGCAATTTCTTAAATCTAAACTAAATTGCTTTTTAGAGTCCTTTTTCTTGTAAGCATTGTAAATGCTAATAAATCCTGTTAATTTTTTTTTCTTTTTTTACTGCATGTTACATTGAAATAAAAACAAAGTAAAGTGACGATTGCCTTATTCTTCTGCTATTTTGGGGGGTTGGAACAGGCAGCATTCCACAGCTTGGGTCAGGTGGAGAGGTCCTCACTTGTTTTCATCAAACGGAGTAGGTAAAACTGATCCAGCAGTCCATAGTAATGATTTCCTGCTCTTTCTTTTATGATCTTATGCCAGAGTGCAGAAGAAGGCCATTTCGTAAGACTTACAATAACTCTATTTTAAAATTCAGATACTAATTTTTCATTAAGAGTTTGATATACCAGTGGCAGTTCATCAGAAATTTTAGTGAAACATAACTCAAATACCTACAGAGGTCTCATCCTAAACAAACTCTTTCAGTCAAGCCCAATTTGCTGCTTTTTCTTATCTGGTTAATAACCTGAAATGTTATCAGGGATGACTCTTGGGTATCTGAGTGAACCATAGGAGTTAGACTTCTCTGTTCTTATATCCATCCTTGTTTTGGATGTAACTCCATCCATCTAAACACCTTTACGGTTAACTACTTTTAAGTAATTGTTGGTATCTCCAGCCCCCCTCCTTTTTTTGTTTTCCTTTTAGAGTTATTTGCAGAATTGTATATATGCTTTCATTAACTAAATGAAATGGCAGCACTGGATTGTATAATATTGTATTGGAGTTCTTTTGTTTCCTTGGACTGTAATTTCAAATACTCAGGTAACTCTATAACCATCACAGGGAGTCACGTGCTTTTATAAAGGTCCTTACAGGGGCTGCTTCACTTGCATTTTTCTTAAAAGATATAAGACTGTTCATAATTAAACTTTTTTGGTCCTTCATTTGCACACTTTTATGTTAGTCTTGGGTAAAAAGGTGTTTCCTACCTGCAGAGAAACTGCCTATATGAGCAGGTTCTATAGATTGCTGTCTCTCTGCTTTTGTAAGTGGGCAGGTTATAGCCTGTCTGTATTGTGTGTAGGCAGAAAAAAACTAGAAAGACCTACTCAGGTGAGATTAGACTTGGCTCCTATGTTGGAGAGAATAAAGTTGGAACCTCTTCAGGGGCAATGCCAGACATAAGGCCTCCATCTGAATTATTTTTCTGAGACAACTGAAGGTGCTCTAAGATGGACCTCAATCATGGTTGCTGAGTAGAGAACCCTTAGCTACCTACCAAGGCCAGCTCTTCTCAACAACCTGGCCTGCTCACCAGCTTCAGTAGACCTTTTTCTATTAGGAAACCAGATGATCATGCTCTCATTTAAAATGGTACCAGTGGAGAGAGGCTAAGGGAAGTGGAATTCTTTAATACGCTGATCTAACAGTGACTAGAGGATAGAAACTGCAGGACCCTCCCAGTCCTGAAGAAGAGGCCATATTCCATTTAATCTGCCCATATAAGCTAGAACATTCTAGTTCACTGGGGGAAGACATGCCCCCTCATTGTGAGGAAACCTTTCATTGAGAAATAAATAGCTGTTCTTATTGGCATTTGGTTGGCCCTCCAGCCCCAGGCCCCACACAAAGCGTCAAACTGGGACTTGGCTGTCACTGACTAGCTATTCTCTGGACTTTGAAGAAGAGTGTCTTACATTGTGTAACTTCAGAACAGGAACTGCTGTTAACTCCCAGCCCATTTTATTGTCAATTCTGCAGTATTGTAGCAAGAGCTCCTTTGTGGCCAGGACATTTGGCTAGGAGAAGGTGGTATCTAGGGAAATCTTCCCAGTTGGCAAAGAGAGGAGAGTCTTCCTGCTCAGCAAAGAGTGACTGTGGCAGGGGGCATGAGATTTCCTCAAAGCACTGCACAGGGAAGGAGCTTGCAAACTTGCAGTTAGTCCTGCTCTTATATTTATCTTCCCCATCATAGTGAGCAATGCCACGCCCGTAGTCACTTAGTCCCAGGACAGCTGCCAACATTTATTACTATGTGCCAGACACTGCTAGATATGCTACGTGCATTGTCTCCTCAGCCACTGTCAGTGAGGGATGACTGTCTCTATTTTACAGATGAGAAAATACAGGCTCGAAGTGAATAACTTGCTGAAGTTTCCACAGCTATTTGGTGACAAGGGTGCAAGTTGGAATGCAGGACTATGAGACTCCAAAGCCTGTGTGCTTAACTGTTTTGCTATACTCCTGTTCACACATCACGACCCTGGGAGTCTTCATAACCAACTCAGGCTTCCCATCTAATTGGTCTCCAAATCCTGTCAACTCTATCTCCAAAACTTCTTTTGAATCTCTTCCCTTAGAGGTGCCCCCATTGCTGCAGCCCACATCCCTTATCCCTAACTTGGTTGACCATAGCAGCCTTCTGTCCTTGTTGCTTCCATTCTCTCCCATCCAGTCCATCCTCTGTGCTGCCTCAGAATGAACTGTGAAAGACCCCAGTCTTAATGCCTCCCCCAGCTTAAAATCTTAGCGGTTCTTCCATTACTACAGAATAAACTCCTAAGCCTGCCACTCAAGACCGGATAAGAGACTGGAAAACTATCTCCAGCTGCTCTTCACCCTCATTCTGACTCCAGTCACACTGTCTGGGATTGTAATTTGTTAAATCCTTACACTTCTCTCATCTGGTTCTCCATATGTAAGATGATGGATATGATCCCTCATGTGTCTGTCTTCCAGGATGTTTTGGGGTCCAGTCACTGCAGCACTTCTGCACCTTGCTAAATGTGCTTCCCTAATGTCTGCAGCATTCAGTAGTCATTGTTTGGATCCAATCCTTTTCTTTTGTAAACTTCTTATTTTGAAATAATTTAAGATTTACAGTGCTGTTGCAAAGATATTACAGAGAGGTCCTGCACACCCCTTATCTTGTTTCTGCTAGTGTTAACATCCCACATAACCATGGTACAATTATCAAAACTAATAAATTAGCATTGGTGAAACAACAACCACCAAAAACTACTGGCCTTATTCAGATTTCACCAGTTTTTCCACCAATGTTCTTTTTCCTTTCCAGGATCAGATCCAGCATCCCACATTGTATTTAGTTGTCACAGCTCCTTTAAAAAAACAAAAAAACAAAAAACCTGTTGCTGTCAAGTCGGTTCCAACTCATAGTGACCCTATAGGGGCCCTATAGGACAGGGTAGAACTGCCGTATAGGATTTCCAAGGCTGTAATCTTTACAGAAGCGGACTGCCACATCTTTCTTCTGTGGAGCGGCTGGTGGGTTTGAACGACCAACCTTTCGGTTAGCAGCTGAGCTCCTAACCACAGTGCCACCAGGGCTACTTACCACATCTCTTTAGTCTCCGCCAATATGTGACAGTTCATCATTTGTTCCGTTTTTCACAATCTGGTTATTTTTAAAGATTATTGGTCAGGTCCTCAGTTTGGGTTTGATGTTTTCCCATGGTTAAGGCCATGAATTTTTGTGAAAAGTACCACAGAGATGATGTACCTTTCTAAACACATCAGGGACACATGGTATCGATATGTCCAGTTACCAATGTTGATCCACTGGTTAAGATGGTTTCTGCCAGGTTTCATCACTGTAAAGTCACTATCCAAATCCTCTTAACATGTAGACACCCCGGAAGGAATAGCACCAAGTCCTCATGGAGAGAGGCTATACCAAAACCAAACTAAAGCCGTTGCTGCCAAGTCGATTCCGACTCGTAGCGACCCTATAGGACAGAGTAGAACTGCCCCATAGGGTTTCCAAGGAGCGCCTGGTGAATTCTAACTGCCGTCCTTTTGGTTAGCAGCCATAGCTCTCAACCACTACACCACCAGGGTTTCAGAAGAGGCTATAGTGGAATGAAAATTTGGAGTTAGATAAGGTGTTCCGGTGCTTCAAAGAAACATCATGTGTAAAGTGGGGATGCTGATTCTCACTATGCTGTAGCTACTGGAGATAACGCACAGTACCTGGCACAAGTTTACTAAATGGCAGTATTTTAGTAAGTTATTCTCTGCTAGAGGAACCAGAAATTGCTGTAGCCTGCGGGAGTGAAATGTTAAACAGCGAAAATGAGCCACCTTAGGGCTCTGGGAAGAAGGATCCCCTTTTAAAGTTGAGAAAATGAGAGCACAGAGATGTGAAGAGGCTTCTCCAAGGTAACACAAGGAGGAGGATGAGCTCGGAGTCCAAAGCCTGCGGATTCCCAGGCTAACCCTAACCACTTTTTCTCAGAGCCTGCATGGAAAATTCCCAAGGGAGTCGCTCGGGGAACCCAGAGACGCCTGACTGTAGCCCCAATCCCAGGCTGTATCTTAGGCGCATTTTGCCTCTCTTTGCTTGCAAAGATCTCAGCATCCACCTCTCCTCGCCCACCACCCTCCACCCCAGAGGTTCCTGAGTCAGCTTAGACCTCAGTTGAGAGTTTAAAAGCCTCTTCTGAGACCGTGAACCAGCATCTTTTCGGCACAGCCGGAGTTGGGAATTTTCCACTGCGAAAGTGCTCTTTTGCTTTTCGCTTTCGGACAGCGTAGGGCAAATTCTCCACGAGCCCTGGGGCAGCTGGCTAAGATCCGCCCCCCTGCCCACCCGCCCCAAGCTGTGTCTGATAGGCTGTCGGAGCAGTCTGTTTTGACAGAAAGCTATGCGCAGGCGCGGAGAGACACCGGGCCTGGGCTGACTAGCATCGACGCGGAGCTACTCCATCGGTCCGAGATGGTGAGTGTTTTTCAGAGGCTTGTCCCTGGTGGCTTGGAAAGTAGTCGACCACGGCCGCGCACCACCCAGCGTTCGGCCTCTCGTCCTCAGTAGGTCTCAGAACGCTGGGCGGGGAAGCTGCGGGGCTGGACGGGGCCGGGCTAGGGCTGACTGGAGGGCGGAACCCTGGCGGCACGGGCCTTCGGACCCGAGCCCAGGGAACCGAGGCGGGGCCGCGGGATCCGGCTGTCCCTGGGACCGGAAGCAGGAGCTCGGGGCTCGGCGAGGAACCGCCTGAGAGGGGGAGGCCGGCCCCGCACCAGCGTCCTGGAGTCCTGGGCTTTCTTGCGCGATAGCAGTAATAATAACGTTTCCTGGAAGCTTAATATGTATTAGGCACTGCTGAGTGCTTTACGTATTTTTCATCCTCAGCACAGCTCTCTGAGGTAGGTACTACCATTATCCGCATTTTACGTATTTGGAATCTAACGCCCCGTGAGGCTAAGAGCCTTGCCCCAGGAAATGACGGAAGTGGATTTGAACCCAAGAAGCTTGATTCTTGCCCTGCACCACACTACAAATCGCCTTTGTGTCGGTGTGTGGCTCTCAAGTTGCCGGACCTTAGCGTGAGTCAGAAACGGGCGGGGGCACTCTTCGGAATCCCAAAGCCCTCTGCCTTGCTGGTTGGAACTGTGGGCTCCACCCGTCACAGGTTTTTTTTTTTGTTTTTAAAGCTTACAACTTGTAAAAAATTTGAAAAGACCTTTTGGCTGTTAAATGTGGTACCTTTCAAACATTTTTTTAAGAATTTAAAGCTTTTTAAAGTTTTTGAAAAAGAAAACCAGGCCCATCACCTAGAGGCAACCGCTTAAAATTAGGCATATTATTTTGTGTTTTTCTCTTCAATTTCTGCTTTATGTAGTTTAACACCTACTGAATACAGTTGCGGGCCCTCCTTTTTTCGTTTATTGTTACACCACAAATAATGTCTCCACATCATTAAAGACATGTAATGCTCTAAATATATGAAACTTCATCTTTCACATCACTTTTTAAACTGTAAAAAAAAATTTATCTTTTACAGGTAATACTTGACGTAGTATTTAAAATATTCATATATATATAAGAATCTAAGTGAAAAATCTCTCTCCCAACCCTGAACCTCAGCCTCAGTTTCCTTCTTCAGAAACAATCATTGTTCCTTGTATATCTGTACAAGTATATGCCACATTTTTTTCATAACAAATGGTAGCTTTCTACACACTATACCATCCTGTTGTGTGTTTACAATACATGTTAATATGTGTATTTTTTAAAATTCTGGCAGTACCAAAGTATATAATGTAGAAACTGCATATAATCCCCACCTCAGTCTGGCAAGGTAACTACTGTTGGCAGTTGTGTATGTCTCCTTTCAGATTTTTTTTTTTTCCTACGTTTTACTTATTTTGTTGTTGTTGGGAATATACACAGCAAAACATACAGTTATTACATGTACAAATTAGTGACATTGATTACATTCTTCGAGTTGTGCAACCATTCTCACCCTCCTTCTCTGAGTTGCTGTTCTCCCTTGTTAACATAAACTCACTGCCCCCTAAGGTTCCTGTCTAATCTTTCTAGTTGCTGTAGTCAGTTTGATCCCATATAGATAGTTCATAAAAGTGCATAATGCTCAAGAGCAGGTCTTTTTTACTAGTTAAGTTAAACTGTTGTTTGGTTTTAAGATGAGTTCAGGGGATAGTTTTGGTTTAAGCTTTAAAGATTATCTCAGGGCAGTAGTTTCAGGGGTGTATCCACCCTCCATAGCTCCAGAAAGTCTCAAGTCTATGAGATTTTGAAATTCTGTTCTGCATTTTACCCCTTTTGATCAGGATTCTTCTATGAAATTGTTTATCAAAATGTTCACTAATGGTAGCCAGACACTATTGAGTTCTTCTGGTCTCATGGCAAAGGAGGCAGTTGTTCATGGAGGCAACGTTACATATCCTCCTCCTATTCCTTACTCTTTCTTCCCATGTTGCTACAGGTGAAAAGAGACCAATTGTTGTGCCTCGGATGGCCGCTTGCAAGCTTTTACAGACCTCAGACACTACACAATGAACTAGGAGGTAGAACAGAAGCGCTAAACACATTATTAGGCCAGTTAACTGGGATGTGCCATGAAACCATGACCCAACCTCCAAACCAAGCAGTCAAATCCCATGAAGTGTTTGGTTGTACATAAGCAGCCTCAGCAGATACTCTTTTTTTTGTTTTTGTCATTGTTGTAAATATCACACAACTTTTGCAAATTCAACTTTTTACAGGTGTACAACTTACTGACAGCAGTTACAGCAGTTGGCTGTGCAGCCCTACCCTTAATCAGTGCAGTTTTCCCATCACCGTTAGTCCTTCTTTTCCCCCTCCTCCTGCTCCTGGTAACCACTAATAAACTTTGGCCTCATTTTTCTTTTTTTGTCTTTTTATATAAATGAGGTCATACAGTATTTGTCCTTCTGTGATTGGCTTATTTTGCTCAGCATATCTTCAAGCTCCATCCACACTGTAGCGTAGATCAAGATGTCATTTCTCCTGCTGGCTGAATAGTAGTCCATTCCATTGTATGCATGTACCACATTTTGTTTATCCATTCATCTGTTAATGGGCATTAGGTTGTTCCCACCTTTTGGCTATTGTGAATCATGCCTCAGTGAACATTGGTGTACAAGTCTCTTTTTGAGTCTCTGCTTTCAAGTCTGGGTGTATACCTAGGAGTAGAATTGCTGGGTCATGTGGTAATTCTGGAGCCTGGGTGGCACAGTGGTTAAGAGCTCAGCTGTTAACCCAGAGATCGGCAGTTCAAATCCACCGGCTGCTTCTTGGAAACCCTATGGAGTAGTACTACTCTGCCTTATAGGGTCACTATGAGTTGGAATCACCTTGAAGGCAGCAGGATGATAGTTCTAGTTTTCGTTTTTTGAGGAACCACCACGCTGTTTTCCACAATGGTTATACAATTTTGCATTCCCACCAGCAATGGATAAGGGTTCCAATTTCCCTGCATTCTCACTAATATTGATTATTTTCTGTTTTTTTTTTTTTTTATCTTAGCCATTCTAGTGGGGGTGAAATGGTATCTCATTGTGGTTTTGATTTGCATCTCTCTGATGGCTGATGGCACTGAGCATCTTTTCACGTGTTTGGTGGCCATTTGAATGTCCTCTTTGGTGAAATATCTAATTCAAGTCCTTTGCCTATTTTATGACTGGGTTGTCTTTTTGTTGTTACGTTTTCAAAGTTTTATATATATTTCAGTTATGTATGGTTTCCAGAAATATTCTCCCAGATGGTAGCTTGTCTTTTCACTTTTTTGATGAAGTCTTCGATGAACAAATTTTTAAAAATTTTTATGAGGTCCCATTTATTTTTTTCTTTTGCTGTTTGTGCTTTTGTTGTTGTATTAGATAATCCATTGTTGAAAGCTAGGCCTGACAGCATTGCCCCTGCTTGTTCTTCTAAGAATGTATGGTCTTAGTTTGCATATTTAGGTCCTTAATCCATTTCGAATTTGTTTTTGTATATGATGTGAGGCATGGATCCCATTTCATTTTTCTGCATGTGAAAATGCAGTTTTCCCAGCATCATTTATTGAAGAGTCTCTTCTTTCCCCTATTGAATGGACTTAGCACTCTTGTCAAAAATCAGTTGACCATAGATGTGTGGCTTTATTTCTAGACTCTCAATTCTATTCCACTGGTCTGTGTATCTGTTGTTATGCCAGTACCAGGCTGTTTTGATTACTGTAGCTGTATAGTATGTTTTAAAATCAGGAAGTTTGAGTCTTCCTACTTTGTTCTTCTCTTTTAACATTGCTTTAGCTTGCCATTCCATATAAAGTTGAGGATTGGTTTTCTATTTCTGTAAAGAAGGCTGTGGTAATTTTGATTGAGATTGTGTTGAATTTATAGATTGTTTTGGTTAGTATTGACATCTTAACAATATTAAGTCTTCCAATCCATGAATATGGAACATCTATTTTTTTAAGTCTTCTTTAATCTCTTTCAGCAGTGTTTTATAGTTTACATTGTACAAGTCCTTCACATCCCTGGTTAGATTAATTCTGTCTTAGTTATCTAGTGCTGCTATAACAGAAATACCACAAGTGGATGGCTTTAACAAGGAAATTTATTCTCTCACAGTCTAGAAGGCTACAAGTCCAAATTCAGGGCATCAGCTCCAGGGGAAGGGTTTCTGTCTCTTGGCTCTGGAGGAAGGTCCTTGTCATCAGTCTTCCCCTGGTTGAGGAGCTTCTCGGGCACAGGAACCCTAGGTCCAAAGGATGCACTCGGCTCCCACTGCTGCTTTCTTGGTGGTACAAGGTCCCCTTGTCTCTGCTTTCTTCTTTCTTTTACATTTCAAAAGAGATTGGCTGAAGACACAATCTTATCTTGTAGATCTCATCAGTATAATTGCCACTGATCCATCTCATTAAGCATTAACATCATGGTGATAGGATTTACAACACATAGGAAGATCACATCAGATGACAAAATGGTAGACAGTCACCCAATACTGGGAGTCATGGCCCAGCCAAATTGATACACATCTTTGGGGGACACAGTTCACTCTATTACATGTTCCTAGGTATTTTATTCTTACATGCTATTTTAAATGGAATTGTTTCCCTAATTTCCCTTTCAGATTTCTCATTGCTGATGTATAGGAACCCAAGTGATTTTTGTTTGTTGACCTTGTACCCTGCAACTTTGCTGAATTCTTCTATTAGCTTTAGAAGTTTTCTTGTGGCTTGTTGGGATTTTCTATATATAGGGTCATATCTGTGAATAGAGAAAATTTTACTTCTTTTGCTTTCAGATTTTTTTGATGCATAATCACGTTTATGTAGAAACTATTACATGAAACTATTCATTACATATTTATAAACATTAAGTTTACTTTAGGTTATAGGTATATGTGTTGTTCTAACAATTTTCCATGTCAGTATATACAGATTTACTTCATTCTTTTTAAGGACTGTATTGCATGTGAGCCCTGGTGGAGGAGTGATTAAAATGCTTGGCTGCTAACCAAAAGGTTAGCTGTTGGAACCCAACAGCCACTGCACAGGAGAAAGATTTGGCAGTCTGTTTCCGCAAAAGATTACAGCCTTGGAAACCCTGTGGGCCAGTTCTCTTCTGTCTTATAGAGTCGCTATGAGTTGGAATTGACTTGACGGCAGTAGCTTTATTGCAGTATGTACATTTAGGTGATTTACAGTATTTTACTCCAGACAGTGCTACAGTAACTGTTCTTTTTGCACTCATGCTAGTGTTTATGTAGGAATAATTCCTAAAAGAGGTACTTCTGACATGCATATTTTACATTTTAATAGAAATAGACAAATTGCCCCTTAGAAAGATGATATAAAATGCATCCATAATTTTCTTCATCCAGTTTTACTCCA